TCAAGCTGAAACCCTTTGTGTCAGCAAAAATTGCCCCTCAAATTGCAGGAAATAGCGTTTCAGAGGGGTCTAGATTTCAAAATTGTTAAGGTTAAGGGGGAGCATGCCCCGGACCCCCCCAGTAAAATTGCTAGCAGATCTCACCCGTCCATGCAACATTTCGTATCGCCGCCTCTGCATGTCAATGACCATGATCTACTAGTATAATATTACTGTTGCTATGGTGATTGGTACTTACCGAATTGCATTGGTGAACAGTACACTGGTCCAATCTTGTAAGAAGAAAGCGACTCGCCGCCGAATTCACTAACGGTGATTGATAATATTGGCAGGTCATTCATGTTGGTGATAATACCTGTAATTAATTGAATTGCAACTTGAATAAGTACCTTTCCTGATTGGTTAATTTTCTCAAACCGCTGCTTCTCAGACCAATCAAATAGAGACTATTCGAACACGTGACTGTTAATTTGACACTCACCGAAATCCCGTCTCCATTCATTGTCCCCGATATCACAGTTGCAGTTATAACCCGGCTCGTCGCATGTATTAGTTGTTCCGCAACCGCACATGAACTCCTGCTCAAGACCGTTGCCCCAGTAGTTCAGTTTCCTTCCGTCATAGCTAGTCAGAAAAGTGCCATCACCTTCACCGGCGAATATCTTAGTGTTTTTGCAGTTGAACTCAACTTCTTGGTAACAGAAACCCGAACTTCGGATCATCTCGACGATGATCTCGATGTCAACTTTGTAATTAACCATGTAAGTAACAGGAGGACCAGTGTACGGCGGTAAAGTCGGGGGTGCTCTTGTCCAATTGCCCCAAAAAGGACAGTTCGGGCAACAGTTACATTGTCTACAACGCAGCAGGGGCAGTAAATATCTGTCCATGGTACTCCCTCATATTCCCCATCAGTAGGTGGTTCGTAACCGTCTGGATATATCGGTATCAGTTCCAACCTGTGGGAATAATATGACGTTAGTACGAGGATACCACAAAGTATGCACGAAGATAGTACAACGAGAGTATCGACCGACGCGCAGTGGAGGTCAATGCGACGGCGTACTGTCTGAGTGCATACATTGAGGTATCCTCGTAAAAACCTTATTATTATGTATACATCTTTTCTTTCAAAAGATACATCATGAGAATGCCGAAATCCAAAAAGTTTAGAACAGAATCAGCGAACTAGTTTGTGTGTGGAGTCCGGTCAAACCATGGTGGCAGCCATGTTTGTTTTTATTATTAGAGGACGCTTACGCGTAATCATTCTATATTTGGAATTCGCATTTCCTTATATGGTACGATGAAAATACCCAGTAAAATACCGCAAGATTACGGCACGCTGTAACTTATAGCGTTACGGTAACAGGTGTATAATAATAGTCGTGGTAACTGTGATGAGATAATCTAACGCTATTCGAGAAGGACCGTTACAGAAATAATCTGCTCCATAAAGTGTGACTATTTAAATCCATGTACTAACTAACTGTTAACTTGTAAACAACGCATCGACTCCGAGCGCGATCTGACTTAGCTACGTTTGCATAAAATCGTATTGTACAGTGAGTATTATTGTCATCAATAATTTTCATTTATTATTTACTTCAGTTACTAATATAAGACATATTTATGCAAATTCATATGGCTGTTTTAGGCAAATTAAAACAATTTTAGTCATCATTGTCATTTCCAGAAAATAACAATATCAAAAATAAACACCTTGATCGTTTTATAGTGATTGATGGTATTCCTAAGATGATCAGATAAATATTTGAGATATTGCAACTACAACTGGAATGCATTTCTAACAATATATTAAATATTATGCAATAGCATATATATGTTTTGATTTGCATATATAGAATACACCAATTCCCTTCCTTGTTTTTCTATTTTATGAAAACATTGAAATTGCTTACGTTGTTGTGGTTATTATCGACACAGCATAAAACTCTGACATCAGACAAGCGACAAGTGTGGGCGGACTATTTATAACACCGTCTCCGTAAGGTCCATCTTCGTCTATGAAATACGAACCATCGGCCGTGTACCCACCATTATGTTTGGTTTCATCGCACGTGGAGTAAATATCTACAGATGAAAACGACATCATTATGTTAAGTTTCATCGCAAGTACTGTAGATTTCAATGGACAGACTATTATGATGTTTAGTTTGTTCGCACGTCGGTATATCGATATATATTGGAATAGCATTACTTTGAGTTTTTATATTTAAATAGAGTACACCTGGGTTTCCTGCACATGCTCATTACACAGGGGACATTCAGCGCATGCTCAGTACAGAACAATAGAACACTGGTCTTGAATGTCTACTGAGTACAGTTTTATTACATGGTCTGACAATCCATTGCAATCCAACAGACATCATTATATTTAGTTTCATCGCAAGTGTAATTTCGGGGTACAACTGATTGTTTTGTAAACACAAAATATGTTCAAAGATAGCAGAGAAAACACTTTCAAGAAATGTTTAAGAAAGCTTGCCCACCAGATACAAACCAATGTAATATATTGCCAAAGAGACAGGTTGTCATGGAGATTGTTATGTTTCACTTTGACATATGGGTTTTGATAACGATTACAGATGAATGAGGCAGAGCTCAAAGATAGTGTATTAAGGCCAGACTTTTATTATCTCTTGTTTCGTGAACCCGCCGAATGAACTGGAGCCAAACATGAAATAAAAATAAAATTTTATTTCAGCGTAATTTCTCGCGCCCACCGACTTGTAAGCGCAAAAAAATGCTAAAAAAAGATTTTTTTTATCTTCATTCTTTTTACCGCCCGCCGCATAACAAATCAAAGTTGCATTTTTGTGGGAGTATCATGATCAAAGTACCGAAGTCTCGCGTAGATGAGAAACAAGGTTATACATGGAATAAAATTTTATTTCATTTCTTCTCTCCGATCAATGACCTAACAATTCTTTGAGAATCACACAAATCTAATGAAAAAAAAAGAATTAATTTTATTTTTTTTCCGCCCTCCTCAAAAAATTGCCTTATAAAAACTCGAGAAACAAAGAATAAAAAAGTCTGGCCTAATCTTTACAAAATTCCTCTAGACACCTCACATGACACATCACTCATGCATTTGAAAATCACATTCAAAATGAACAAATATCACTACTCACCAAACTGAACAGGTCCACATTTAAGTGGACCAATGACATGGAATCCTTTCTTATCATAATCCGTGTCACCGAAATAGAGGTCTTGAATTGGCAGTAGGTCTTTGTCAATGATTCGGCCGTCATCGTAATACGTTCCTTCAGTATTGGATCCATCACAGTTACATTTGCTAGTACGGTTGTAGCAGCTTAACGTCTCGCCACAGGTGCACTGCCAAATAGTGAAATCGATATTATAACATATTGTTTTGTGGGTTTATGGACTACCTTAAAGAGGGGGGAGTCGTCACCTGCGCATGCTTCAGAAGGCCATAGCGTGTTATTGTATACAGCGTGGTAATATTATCAGCTTGTTGTGAGTCCTATACTACTCACTAATATTGACTCGTAAATATCTATATATCGCACCACTGCTTAAAGTGAGGGAGTCGTCACCTGCGCATGCGTCAGATGGCCTTAGCGTTTCATTGTTTACAAACAAACGTCTACCCATGAGCCTTTGCGTTTGTAGTGTTGTTATCGTCACTTGGAACTCAGTTCCCGCGCGTGCGCAGGTGACGATCCTCCCGCTTTAACAGGATTTGATTTGAAAAGTAGTTCCCGCCAAAAATATTCGACCATTTACGAATTTCACTCTCATATGGTATTCGTGCCGTGTATTAATACGAATTTGAATCCGCATTTTTAGGGGCGGGGTATGTCATGTCTATAGCTAATAGTATACACAAATCACAAAAAATAGTCCATAAAATATTTGTCGTACCAGATATTTGTTTTATTTACTTTAAACGACACAGTAACTGTGATAGTCGTGAGCCAACTGCGAACGAGGTTACTAGTTGCTGACGTCATCGGACGTACTCTATTTTATTGAACTTATATGTCTTTCGTATAGAAAATTATCAGGATATTGAATCCATGCAAGCTCGATGTCATAATGTTTTTTTCCTGGAGTGAATTAGTAGTACGGTAACACGTTGAGAACAAACATTTTAACATTGCTTTGCCCGTGAATAATAAATCAAGTTGCTGAAATTTCTAATATTTTTTACCACACAGAAAAATATTTATACTTCGGTTTTGTACATGACCTTCAAATGGAAAATTTAAGTAAAGACATTTATAGCACATTTAAGACTTCTGTAAACAACCAGATAGCCGCATGCAAATTAGGTGATTTTCCGTACAATTGCGAGATCTCGCGAGATGCATGAAAGACACGCGTCGAACGTCTGCCGCAAAAATCGAACGATTTGATTTTGAACTAGAATTTCTTTATTTCGTAGCTTACATTGACCGGCCGATCTTCGACAGAGGAATATTGCTTCCGAATACCCTTACGTAATCGAAATTGCCTATCATCAAATGTGGACAGCACATTATTAAGCATGGAAATGTCCCCGAAATACTTTCGCGTTTGTCGAATCCCACGCGATGTTTGACGCCACTACGACGCTATGACCTTTGTTTGTCCTGTTTTACGTTCGATTTCACGCATAACGCGTGATTCTCGCAGTGTACGGAAAATGGTCTATTAGGCATGCCTCATTTACAAGTTATTAAGTCCCCTTAACCCTTCAATATCAGATAATTAGATCACATTGAATTGATAACAATGCATTGAATGGGTTTAATTTGTAATAAAGTTTTGATATACTAGTACACGGATTAATAGTGTTTACCATGTATTGTCCTGTAGCCCCTCCCCAGTTATGTTGTTCATTTCCATTGGCATCGACCCACCATCCGAAACCTTCAAGGAGTGTGGCGCCATCCTGACATCGGTACCTAGGAGTAAAGACATTTCAAGTGTAGCTGCTGTGATAACAAAATATAGTTGATAAAATCACAGTTATGCAAGTGGTTGTTGTGTTTAGTAGTTTAGCAGCGTGTTCACACATAAGGGAGGAACTGAGATTGGTGTACATTTGATTAGTGCATCTGCTAAATGACTAATGTGCCAATCTTTAGGAAGCAATGAATCGATACAAAAACGACCTCAAAACTAATAATTTCTCTCGTTTTTTCGAGGCAGTTGGTACAACTTACTTCAGGAAGGCAGTGGGTACGACACACTTTAGGGTGTCAATGGGTTAAAGCCAAAAAGTCGTGCAAAATGACTAATAAGACTCATCTCAGAGAGGTGTTTGGCTCGTACGTAAATAAATTTAAATAATTTAATTTGTCATATATCAGGAAGGCAGTGCGTTCAAGCCAAACATACGTAACAATGGCTAATGTGCCCCACTCAAGGGAGCCAGATAATCCAAACCCAAACATCTGCAAATGGTGAATGCCTTTGTATTGTGCATCACATGGAATCAATGGAGTCGAGCCAAATATGGACACTAGAGTGGTCTGTGAGTTCACTTCACTTCGCCTCACTTCAGGATGCAGTTGATTCAAGCCAAAATGCCTAGTACTCACTTGTCAGTATGTTACGAGAACGTTATATTACAGTAAGCAAAGGAAACGCCAATGGTGGAGATAATAAGTGGTGATCTGGTGAAGGTACTTGGTATCTCGGGAAGCGCAAGAGACATTTAAACAGAATCTACTTCTAAAGTACTATCGTGGTGTTTGACTGTTTTTAGGGTGGATAGTAGGTCGGTGTGTATTTTTATATAGGTTTTGAAAAAAACTGCATAAAATTAAAAACATATTGTAAAAAATCAAGAAAATCGGTTGACATGTTTTAATGGCAACCGACTGCGTTGACCGCCTGTATTGTATTCATTGTTGCGATTATTGGGCTTGGTATCTCTAGAAGCGCGCAAGAGACATCGACTTCTAAAGTACTACCATGGGTGTGTGATTGTTTTCAGAATGGATAATACGTCGATGTGTATTTTTATTTGGGTTTTGAGAAAAAAACGTAACAAATAAAACCATATTCTGAAAAAATCGGTTGACATGTTTTAATGGTAGCCGACCACGTGTACCACCGGTATGGTATGCAATGATATGATCATTGTACTCCATTGTTATATATCAAGTATTGGGTAGACGACCGTCCACTGTGTAAGAATCTGAAGGAATTCCTGCACTAGCTATGGAAAAAGATGAATCATAGTAGGCACTGAAAATTATGCTAGTTCGATGAATCGCAAACAATAATGGCAGACTACCAATATTGCAATACCTGTCCATTACACCATTAACTAAAAACCAAAATACCTTACTTGCGTGTATCGTGAAATTGACCCAAAAAAAAAGAACTAGTTGAAAAAACCTAGTTACTAGTGCTAGACCTAATTAAAAATATTCGGAAATATCAGCCCCACATGGGTGACTGAAATATACACACCTTACGTCTTGGTAACAGAATTCAGCATCGTCTACAATGGCCTCTATTTGTTTATCCGTTAGGACGTATTCTAGCTCTTCGTGGTACGAACCTTTCTCAGGTTTGTTGACGACTTTCATCTCTCCCTCGGAACTGTGGCTGACCACGATGACTCCGATATCCCGGCTCATGTCGCATTCCACCTACGATGAAGTAAATTGAAAGATTGGTTCTAATGACTGGTTTAAATAGATGAATTTTAGTTCAACTGCGAGATCTCGCGAGCTGCGTGAAGGACGCGCACCGAACGTCTGCCACAAAATCGAACGATTCGATTTTGAACTCGAATTTCTTTATTTCGCAGCTCACATCGAAAGGCCGATCTTTGACGTTCGGGAATATTGCGTTTGAATACCATGACTTCATTGAAATTGACCATCATCAAATGTGTAGAGCACAATATTAAGCACGGAAATATCCCCCAAAATACTTTGCGTTTGTCGAATCCCACGCGATGTTTGTCGCCACCACGACCCTATGACCTTTGTTTGTCCTGTTTTTACGTTCGATTTCACGCATAACGCGGGATCTTGCAGTGAACGGTCTATTCATACTCAATATCATATATATGTGATATTAATCATATAAGACGAGTTTGTTTGTTTGTTTTGTTCCGTATAGTCCATATTATTTCAGAATGGAAATGGAAATGTCAATAATAATCTATCATGAATACACGACTGCCTTTATTTGCGAATTTTAAAAAAAGCAGTATATACTAAAAGAAAAAGTAACTCTTAATATTAAAACATGCACTTCAAAGTGGTTGTCGTGTTGTGGGTAGCTGCTCTAATAGGTCAGCAATTTCCAAAGAAAATACTAGGATGTGTAACATTTAAAGGGCGGTGGTTCTCGTGCCACGCATGCTCGAGATATATGGGCCTCATTAAAACAAAGATGGCGACTTAGACTGTTGCGCAGATCAACGAGTACAAACTGAGACGTTTCCTAGCTTCGATTAGATACTTTTTAGGTGATTGGAAGGTATCGAAGGAGTCACCGGCGGTATTCAGTGCAAATCGCGCCTAGATCGAACCTCATACTCGTACTTGTGAAATCCATTAGAAGAGCGCATTGGATTATGGGAAAATGTTTATTAACACAAATGTCGCACATGCGCAGCGCGACGACCACCACCCTTTAAGAATCATGAATAAATTACCTCAAATGGGTCCAAACCACCATATCCATCAATGTCGATCATGTAAATTCCAGACGGAATGCTATGGTCATCCTGCAGCATCTCATCACAGGTACGTGGAAGGACTGTGAAAGGTAAATGAACACATCATACGGGGGATTAGGGTTAGTTGCGTGGTTTGACACTACTAAAGCCTTTCCATTTTCGACATTGTGAATTTGGGGGGGGGGACCATGAAAAACTTAATTGACAAGATAATTCGGAAATTTATATTAATAATAATTCATAGCGAAATTTATTCCCTATACACCCATAACTAATTTTCATAATTATAGATTACACAAGAATATTACAGAAAAACGATAACCTCTATATTGTTGTCTTTATAGCTGAAAGAAAATGAATGAAATTAAAAACTATAGTGTGATCAACAACTCATGTATGAACTTTTTACTTGGTAAATGTACTGTATTTTCCGCATAAAAACGAAAGAATTTCACAATGTCGAAAACGGAAAGTCTTAATCGTAGTGTTGATTTATAACCAAACCCTTAAACCGGCGTACTTTAATAGTATATGATAATCGTCTCACAAATCAATAAATGAACAAGTAAATAATCAACTAATAATATATTACAAAATTAGCTAGATTTGTATCTACTTTCCTGATGTTTTGGACACTGAGTATTCCCACCAGGACACTTGTTTTTATAAGTAAAGGGTGAGGGTGGTAAGCCCACGGTAGGATTATAAGGTCAAAGAGTTTTGGGGAAAACACGAGGCTAGACTGACATGTAGGCGTGAGTGGCACCCTCGCCGGTCGAACTGCATTAGTCCCTGCTACCTACTGTGTCAGGTTTGGAGCATCGCGGAGGGCGCAACTCAGACGACCCTGTCAGGCTACCAGGTGTCGGATGCGTACTCACGTTTACAGAATGTGTGGCCATCTCCGGAGAATCCAATCATGCAGTCACAGTTATAGGTCCCAGGCTTATCGGTACACGTGGCAAATTCAGCGCATATATCAGGGGTCTTGCACTCGTTGATATCTGTAAGAAGAAAAAGACGCGGAGCATTTGTTGGATGTGAAATCGACAGATGCATATTCTCCGGGGCGGATATCCGGACATTTTTACCGCATGGCAACCATCACGGTGAAAACAAAAGCCGAAAACTCCCAGGAAACGGTACTTTGGGATGGTTGTTGAGACTCCCCTGCGTGTGTAAAGCATATGAATTTGATTGTTCAGGATTACTTCAAAGTTGAGTTCCTGTTGTTTTCTTGCGGTATTCCGCATTCCTCAGCAGCGCGCACAGAGCCCATAGAAATACGTGGACAGTGGTGCGCGTCTTAGCAACGAGGAACGTCTTGTGACGTAGCTCCGCCCCGAGGATAGACGCTGCTAACAATTCTGGCAAAAAAGTTAGAAAATGTAAAAGAAACTGCAATCCTTGATAAGCAAAAGGTAAATAATAAAGCGGTAATCAAACTTGTCTCAATGGGAGCAATAACTTATTGACTTCCCATGGTCATTTGGCGGCCATTTATTTACCTGGTTACTGTATTGGATACTTTAATCAGCCCAAAATAAGCTCTCCTTGAAATTCTGTATGTTTAACGGTTTTAAATATTCGTTTTCTAGCTTTGGATTTCTAAGTACGGAACTAAGGCATCGCGATTAAAACGAAGGGGTCTTCACATGCGCATGTGCGGAGATTGAGCCCCAAGCGACGATAACAACACACGCTAAAAACCCAAAGGCTCACGGAAAGACGCTTGTTTGTAAACAATGACATGCAATGGCCGGTTTTCCACAAGCGCAGTTGGCAACTCAAGTTATTTGGACGGGATAGCAAATTGAAACTTCTGCGAATGGAAAATCTCCTCTATTACAATCTGTTGGTCTTTTTTATTCTCTTACTTTTTAATTTGATAGCCTTAGGTATCCACCATGAGAAATAATGGTTGAATATCACTTACTTCTGCACGTCTCTTTCCCATTTCCTTTGTAGCCGTCCTTGCATACACATGACTTGGTATCGTTTTCACAAAAGGCGTTCACGTTGCAGTCAACATCCGTATCACACTGGTTGGAAACTGGAAAAAATAAATAAACGAAAACCAGACGTCTTAGCGTAGACTCAAATAACGTTATTAGATAAGGCAATTACGACGACATTCGATTCGGCCAAACATGAATAACGATAAACGTGTTTGGGCTTTTTGACTTCACACATTGAAGCATTCTCTATGCAGACGACCAACAACACTAAAATGGATAGCAGCAAAAATATAGAAATGATTGACTATTAAATACACGACTAAAGAGACGGATGAGTCAATCGTACAATACTCAAGTATTGTTAAACGGTTGTGTTTTTGCGCAACTCACATTTAAATTTCATGTAAGGAAAACAATGTATTGTACATACGATCGTCATTTATTTGTGATCGATCATGCACTAGCTAAAATCATGGAAGGTAAAAAGCTAAAACCTATGTAAAGCTAAATTAAACTAAAACGGACTCACGGCTAGTATATATA